CTGGGGAGACCTAGACGTAGATGGGAGGATAATCTCAGGCGGGATCTAAGGGAGATAGGAGTTGAAGGAGACTGGATTTTGTTGGCCCAGGACAGGGTCCGGTGGAGGGCTTTGGTTAATGCGGTGATGAACCTTCGGGTTCGGTAAGCCATCTAGTTAGTTACTTAATTAGTTATGAGAAGTAATATAATTAGCCAATTTTTTGTTTCCTTTCTAGGCAGATAAGCTAGAAGATATGGATTACTATGCAAAGCAATGTGCAGCGGAGTATGAAACTATGAAAAACAGGTTATCGAGAAAGCACAATAAAAATGATTCAGATGCAATAGTTAGACTGTTGAAGGAAGGAAGTCCCGTGCCGGCAGAGAAGGACATGTCTGATAAGGAGACTTTTCATGCACTGGGTTTTGACATTGCACAATCAGAAGTCCAAAGCGATCCTTTAGAAACAGAAGCTGTTAACAATGATACTAATTCAAAATCTGATGTAAAAGAGGTTCTGGGAGCAGATAGCGAACCTGACATTAATCAGGTGATCCCACCTCAGAAAATTGGTTCCGGTAAGATTACGTCATCCAAAGATCAACCGAGTGTCACTGATTCCGAAATGCAACGTGGTAGTATTTCTGTAGAAGAAACTGATATTGAACCCAAAGTTTTGAGGAAAGTTATTCCACCAACTGTGACTTCCAGAACTGAAATTGAACAGCCTTCTGAGATAGAGAAGTCAGAGATTACAAAACAAACAGTACAACAGACTCATTCTGAACTAAACTTAACAGAGCACGTTGAAGAACCAATAGTACCTCTGGGCCAGCGATCAAGTAGATGCAAGGCTAGAAGTCAAGTTCAGGCTGCGGAAGTTCAGAAAATTGATAGTCGGAAATCTCAACAGATGAATGATCTGGATTTTGTTCTGTCCCTGAAGAACCCTCTTAAGGAAGCTCATATTTCAAGTTTGAAGCCTTCGCAAGTTAAAGTGTCAAATATTGAAGAAGGTAGGTTTAAGTTAATATTTGAACGTGGTACTACAGTCCAGAAGACTAAACTGTGAAATGTAATGTAGAAACATTTCTAATTTTAATATTACAAAACTGCAAAATCATCATGAATGAAAGAGTAAGCTGGCGTATTCCGACTTTATCCTTTTTTTCAGCTAAGACACCTGACTGCAGTGTTTTGTTACTGCACCAAAACAATCAAATTCTTTTCTCGTTTATGAATCTTTCAGTGTCTGTTTCAGACGATGATTCTACTGGACCAAATTCATCTCAGCTTTTATTAATGACTCCACAAAAGAAAACTCAGGACCTCGAGGACTGGCTGGATTCAATGCTGGACGACTGAAGTCTGTTCACGTATTAAAACACCAGCGCAAGCTTGAAATAGGAGAATGTATTAATATAAAGTAGCTGAATCTTTCAGTCTACTGTATCTGCCTGAGGTTTGCGACTACCATTTCAGCTCCTGACTGTGGACCAATGACCCTGAGGATGTTTATTGTTTACTTCAGTTTTTCTCGGTAAATTTTGAGATTTGTTTGTCTCAGAATACGCTCAGTTATTAACTTAACACATATTACAGTCAGTTGTAAAAAAAGACAAGATACAATTTGTAAATAAAATTTAAGTTATGTAAATACCATTATTTATTGTACTGCAAACTTGTGTGCCCTGCTCGCTGGTACCAGTTGTCAGAATGTCGTGAGCAGAAGTTGGGTATTTGTGAAAAGGAATTTGTTGTAAGGGTCTGAAAACTGCCTCTTGGAAAGCCTTAACTAAACATAATATGACTGCATAGAAACATTAAGAGCAATAAAATGGAATAGAACAGTAAATATTTTTCTCTTCTTGAGGTATGAGTTGTGATAATGAAATGCATTGTTTTGTCCTTACATCAGTTTTGTATTTCTCAAGAAAATCCATTATTAAATGATATGAATACGGATTCCTGAAATGTTACTGTATTATCATCAAATATGTTTCAAGAAAGAAGGCAAATTACGTTTAATTTAAATTAGTTCTTCATAAACAAGTTATGGAACTGCAGTAGAACTGTTTCTGTTTCGGACAAGAAGTAATTTATTTTGTATATTTTTTCTTCTTCATTTTATTTGTGCAGTCAATTATAGAAGCTGTGTTTCGTATATTTCCTTTGACATTGCTATATTGCTGATGATGAGAGTTGAGATTTAATTATTTTCATAATGTGGCAAAGTTTACTGTCACACACAGTTTACCTTTTTTAAGAGACAAACTTGAAGAAACGGAAATTCATGATGGGAATTAAAAAATCAGTGATGTATATTTAATAGAGTATATTCTTATTGTTAAGTAAAGTAAAGTTTGTCCCACTATACGCCATGTAGGCGTTTGGGGTGAGAGGAGGTATACCTTGGCACTAGATGGGGGTGAGTGGTCAGCATCACGCCCCGGCCGGCTTTACCCCCGGGAAAGGACCCCCGGTACCCATTGTAGAGGAGGCTGGGTGGGCCCCAGAGCCGGTCTGGACGCAGAGGCTAGAGGAAAAATCCTGCCCCCATCGGGGATCGAACCCCGGTCGTCCAGCCCGTAGCTAGTCACTATACTGACTGAGCTATCCCGGCTCTTATTCTTATTGTTACTGTACTTATTTTGTAATTAAAATATTATTAATTTTAATCATATGAATTTTTAAACACTGTATATGTACTTTCATGTATGCATTAAAAAGAGCGTCTTTATTAATGAATGTAAAAAAGGATAGAAACATTTTTCCTGTTTATTTCCAAGTGGAAATGTTAATAATTTTAATTTTTTTATTGTTTTCTTTGCGTAATTACAAATACACTGAGTGCTTGTGCAGTGCATAATGAGATGTACTTTCAGCATAGATCACTGTAATATTTGTTGATAGTAGTGGTTGTGCACCTCTGGAACTTGGACACGTTGCTAGCCAGACCGGAGCACTCACCATTAATATTCGGCTTTGGGTTTTGGTGGTACCTCCCCATGTCGTCCAGAAGGACAATGCATTGCAGCCGAGAGGTAACAGGTGCCTGAGAACGCGCGGCTGACTGCTAATTACTCTGCTTTGAGATTAATTTGCGACCAGTCATTCATCAGCGTCGTTGTGGAAGGCTTGACTTATAATTAATCCACTTAGTCGGGGTATTGTAGTGAGAAATGAGAAATGGCTTGAACATAATTAATCCACGTATTGTTACGAAACTGACGCGAATTTACACAGGTCTTGCACGACATATAACGTGAAACGAAATTTGTTGTGGATGGACGAAAGTTTTGGCGTTTTAACAACCACATCGCACGCGAATAAGGGCGTCTAGCTTATTGCCATTCGTCGTATTCTAACAAACGAACCCGCTGAAAGTTTCCGGGTAATCATAAATATCTGAGTTGAGGTCCAAGTATTTTCTTTACCAAAGCATATAGGCGTGCAGGAGGTAGGTTGCGTCTGTCATGGTCCGCGCTGCTTTCACGCTGTGTAACAAGTTATAATAAACGAGGCCGTAACGACCGTGGTGTGCAGGATACGCCAAAATTTAGATTGGTCGAGTTTCGAACACATACTTTTTTTTTATTTTAATGTAAAGTACTGCAGCCCTATACATCCTAGGTCTCTTTTTCCTGACAAAATTTAGTTACCAGTAACGTCCTGAAAAGCTGGAACAAAGATTCGACAGCCCATTTATGCGATGGAAATGATTTGTATGTAATTTGTTACAAAACCGTCATATTTATGAGCGAGTTCTTATTATTATCAGTATTTGCTTAATATTTCAACTTTCTTAGAGTGGGAAGTTAATGAAACTGACCCTGGATCGTGTCCTATGGCACGCTTTCGTACTAGCATTCAGCAACTGGAGAAATATTGACATTAGTTTCAGGCTTTACTTTTCGGACGATGGCGATATTTTTCAAACACCTCGTCGAATGCGAGTTTAGTGAACAGGTTGTTAGGCTAACTGAATGTCGTATTTGTTTTGATTTTGTTATTTATCTCAGGACACAGCAAGTAACTGCAATGCTCGTGTTGTATGTTTCTGTTGATGCTGTTATTTGTGTAAAATTGAAGGACTGATAATACAAAACTGAATTCAAATTTGATAGAAAACTCCTCTTATAGTCTCTTTGCTTCGATGCCAGCCTGTTTCTCGACGTCTTACGAGGAGGAAGGTTGTTCATCTTAAAGCCTGTCCACCTGATACAAACATTAACAACCCGTTTTTCACCGCTGTTTACGAACTAGGCTTTATTTACCGGGCCAGAGCAAGCGTCACTACTAAGTTTAAGTTAATTTAAAGTGTAGTGTTTAAATATTTTGATTTATTAACCCATTAATACCCAATGTTATTAATTGTATGTGCCACCTACTTCAACAATCAGTAACTCTTCATTTTGTATTCATGGATTCCGTATAATTCTCACTGTAAAGAGTGATTATTTTCTTGAACATCGAGTGTTCTGTTTTCTTTGCGGTATGGACTGATTGTTTAAACATTGTCTAGACGAGCTTCGGCTTCAAATGGTTAATGCATTGGAAGTGGTGAATAACCAGTGTTTTTGTTGCCGGAAATTTGTATGGAACTACAAGTGTTTTACAGAATTTAATTTGCGATTCAGTTTAAAATATTTTAAATTTTCAAATATCAAATGTTAAGATGAAAAAAAAAGATAAATACCAGTCAAACGTACCGTCGATGGCTGAAGAGTCACAGTGCCACGGAAACTGCACGGACTTACCATTAGAATTTGTTTTCATCGATTGCCTCAAGCAAAACTTCTCTCCTGCCTGACGTAGTGACTGTTGCTGTGAACGCATGGCTACCAGGGCAGTTGTCCGAAAGCGTGCGTTGGGTGAAGACTTTTCGGATCTCAGCGTCGGGAGTTTTGACTGACGGTCTCGTCAGGTAAGCGATCTCAGGACTTCGAGGAACAGATCCGAAGTCTGCCGGATAGATAAAATTGAATTTACAAAATACAGTTAGGGACCACAGACGTTAATATTATCCCTGTAGATAAAGTACGCCTGTAACTTACTTAGAATCTCATTACGCACAAAGGGCGATATTTGGCGTTCAGCTTGCTTGCGCGAGATATGTGTACATTTGACTTAAAAAACCCTGAATGAAATTGCTCATTAGGGACGTAGTTTTCAAAATAATGTCAAAATAGATCTTAGACTGATAGATGTGATTCAGTATAGGGATGAGTGGCGGGATCTTGTTAATACGGCAATGAACATTCGGATTTCATAAAAGCGGGCAAATTTTTCGTTAACTGAGTGACTGTTAGCTTCTCAAGAAGGAAGCTGCACTGTGGAGTTCGTTAGTTATTATCAATCTATAATTTTTCTTTTTGAGAAAGTCCTCAGGTTTCTCAGATACAAGCTGTTGCATGGCCAAATTTAAACTCTAACTCTATAGTAATTTGTGCACATTTCAACACTATTTATATTTTAGCATGTATTATCGTAATTTGTTACTTTGTAATTATTATTAAAGACAGCGAAAAGTTGCTACAAGTTTCCAAAAATAGTGTTACAGGGTTTTCTTTTGGCCTTTGGCCAAACGAGATAAGTGTTCTTGGCCCGAGAGAAGGAAAAAGTTGGACCACCCTGGCTTTGTCGTAGGCCTACGTGCTGTGACGAAAATGTCAGTATAATATCTTTATTAAGATAATTTATGATCTGAGGTTTTCATGGCGGTGAGGATGATGATATTCTTATGGGTTTTTTTGGCGCCTTGTAGACTCCTCGGTGGATGCCAACATTTCGGAAAAAAAATACTCTCTCTATCCTCAGGGCTGAAGATGGAGACTTGGTTTGTGAAGAAGGACTCTGCTTCATGGTGTTAATGTTGTACTGTACTTAATTTTTGATGTAGTCGTAAAGTAACCGAACGTAATCAGTAAACGGGAGATCCCACGTTTGATTCTTGATCTGGAGGCCGGCTTGTCTTGAGCCTTTCTCTTAGTATCCCAGGAAAATTCTGGGAGAAGTAACTTAAAACGTGCCCTGATCGCTTTCTTCAGAATTCGTAATTTAGAACCATTCTCACATTCAAACGCCTGTAACTTGTACAGTGTCTTAAACTGCCGTCCTCGACCTACCTGTCATCTGTTGAACCATTTGGAGCTCAGCTGCTCTTGTCATCCAGGGGCGGACGATTTGTGTTAAATAAAGTCTTATGTCTTACTTTCTTCGTTCGGTGGTACTTTATAAACCACGACACAGCAAAAGCGATAAAATGAAATGCATCTTTAGCCAGCTCCAGCTCTAGCCAGCAAGACTTTTGTTAACCGACTAGTTAAGGCTTACGGTCGTCTCGAGCGTAGAAACATTTAATTGGCTCGAGCTGATTAACGATGTATTTTATCTGATCGGTTCTTCTGTAGTCCAGTGTTTGGAGTACCACTGACCATGTGAGTGAGACAAGAGACTTTTATTATTCGGTTTTCAGAGTTTTGGCCTAGCTAACGTGGCTAACAGTTACCATGAACGATCTGCTCGTGTTATCGCCCTCGATTTTTGTTCTATCACCGAGTCTGTCGACCGAGAGTCCAACATTTCATTTGTAGTCTTTGCATGTGTATTTTAGGGCCCATCTCGTGATTTTAATCTCTGCATAAACAAAACAGAAGAAATGTCAGTGCAGTAATCATAAAGGTGGTCTTGTGGACAGTTCTCGCAAATAGCTATGGTACCGGGTTATTGTAGTATTAATACTTATTTTTGGAAGTAATTTAAAAGTTCAAGATTGCAAAAGCGTTTGTGGGGAAGGGGGAGAAGGTTGTAGCTTAATATCCACTAAGTTGTATCTTGCGTGGCTTGGTACGGCAGGCAACCACCACGGTATTTCACAGGACAAATGTCACGTCATTACATACTGGAGCATCTTCGTTGTCCTACCGCTCGATAAGACACACACGCACATGCATAAAGGAAATAACTACACTTGCAGTACCAGGAGACCCAGATGAGCAGTAATTTATAAATCCCTGCACAACAGAACCGAAACAGCCTGCGTTGACTTCATATTTGTTCGTAGCAAACGCGGTTTACAGTTGCCACGACTTATCACAGCAATCAAAATTCTTTACTCCAACAAACTTCAATCAAACTTCAGTTCCTAGTGGCGAGCCTGTAAAACAAATTTTTTTTTCAACTCCTTATGCGCCATTTGCACAAAATGCATAAAAAGCAACCCACAACGGGAATACAGTGTCCGTCTGTCCGTATATTTCATATTCGGAAGCAGTGATCGGATTTTGATTAAATTTGGTTTTGTTGGTCTGAACTGAAATGAATTGAATTAATTTAATTTTGGTTTGTATCGATCAAACATGAACCTTACTTCACATGAATCTCAGATAAAACGGCTTCCTGAAATAAAGGTCATTATAGAAGAAGTAGTATACTGCGTTCAAGCGTTTTTGGCCGCTGAACTTTGTGAATGGAACCTCGGAGCGAGTCACTTACCAGAAGATTCCTGGAAGGGATGGCAGCAGGCCGCGTACAGTACACTCCAAATAAAATATCACCACGGTATGTAACAGGAAAGTCGATTTCATTACACTACGCATCACTAGAAAATTAACACTGCAGAGAGTTTTAGATAATTTTATCTTCTTCACAACTCTTCGGTCCTCATTCAATTTTTCCACTCACAGACCATCGCTTTCTGACATATCACTCGATTCATAACCACCGCTGCTACTGCCCAATCCATTATCTTTAATTATATATATTAGTGACAAAGATTGAATAGGCGTGACCTCCTTTGAAAGCGTGACGATAGGACAACTTAAGAGTTTAAAAATCACCAAGATATTAAAAGCGTGATCAAGCGTAACAAAGCGTGACTATGAGAGACGTATTGTAACGGCGTGACGAGATGTGGCCATAAGTGCTGAAACGTGAGGAATATTTTCAAAACGTTACCTAATCCAACAAACTAACCTAACCTAACCTAACCTAACCCAACCGAAACGAACCACACCTTACCTAACCTAACTTAAGCTAACATTTCTAACCTAACCCAACATGTCTAAACTTAATCTAACGTATTGCTAAGTAGCCAAAATTAATCGTGCGTTACGTAACATAACGCAACCGTGCCGAAGCGTGACTTAGAGATCACGCGTGCCTAAGCGGGACAAAGCGTGACCTCCTTTTATCTCGTGACAAATGATCATCAAATGTGTCGAAAATTGACGAAAATTTACAAAGCGTGACAAATCGCGACCGAGCGTGATAAAGCGTGACAAAACGTGACTATGCGTGACCTGCTATAAAGACGTGAGGACAGGTCACCATACGTGTTAAAATACGACGAAGATATGAAAAGTATGACTAAGCGTGACCAAGCGTGCTGAAGCGTGACAAGGCGTGACTAGGCGTGACGTAGTGTAACGGTGCGACGAGATGTGGCCAGAGATGTCGAAACGTGACGAATATGTACCAAGCGTGATCAAGCGTGACTATGCGTGACTTTTGCTTTGGCGTGACGAGTTGTGGCCATAAGTGTCGAAACGTCATAAGAAATTTCAAAACTTTACCTAACCCAACAATTCCCACTAAACAAACTTGACGTAACCTAACACAACCTAACCTAACCCAACCGAACCGGACCTCACCTTACTTAACCTAACCTAACCTAACCCAACCTATCCGAACCTAACCTAAGCGAACATTTCTAACCTAACCCAACATGTCTAAACTTATGTAACTTATTGCAATGTAGCTAAAATTAAGCGAGCCTTACGTAACATAACGTAACCGTGCCGAAGCGTGACCTTCTTTTACCTCGTGACAAGGGATCATCATGTGTCGAAAAGTTATGAATATTTACAAAGCGTTACAAAACGTGACGAAGCGTGATAACGCGTGACAAAGCGTTTCTAGGCGTGACGGGATGTAGCCAGAAGTGTGCAAACGTGACGAATATTTACAAATCGTTACCAAGCGTGCCCGAGCGTGTCTAGGTGTGACGTGCCGTATTGCCGTGACAAGATTTGGCCATATCTGTCGAAATGTGACGGAGGTTTAGAAAGCGTGACCTAGCGTGACATAGTGTGATAACGTGTGATGGGCTTGACGTACTGTAACGGCATACTGGAGATAAATTTTATTTTTTCAGATATGAGTGGAGGATCCATCCCTGAATCAACATCTGATCCCAGGCTTGTGTTTCTGGGCCGTTATGTCCAGAAAACACTGAAACTGAAACCTGAAAAGTGGAATAGACTCCTGATGACTGAGGAACAGAAAACTATTGTAGTGGATTTTCTTAATAAACCAGAACCACTGGTAGGTTATGCATTAACTAGTTTGTGGGTCAACCATGGATAGAATCACAGTTCTATTTATAAATTCTATAGTGCATGTTGTGTATAATGCCCGATATAATTTGTACCTCATACTTCAACTGCTGTCACCTGACTTCCCCTTCAATTCAAGTGGAGGGTCTCTCATTGAATATTTTCTTGAGCAGTGGTTAGGTTAAGTAATGGAAGCCAGCAGCTTTAGCATATTTGTAGTAACAAACCCAGCATTCACCCGGAGATTGAAAAATCCAGTCAGTATAACTGATTACCTGGCATAAATTTGCCTGAATGTTTCCTGTATACACATATTGAGTGTGACAGCCACACCAATGTGCTTAGTGTTGCGGTGGTAGTGCTATAACACTGATTACAATGTTTGGTTGTATCAGGTGCTGATTATACTACTGAATAATGCAGCACAACTTCTTGCTGCAAACAGCTTTCCAGTAAGCTTGAAGAGCAAGGCTGTCTACTTCATTAAACGACAGCGGGGACCTGTGCCAAGGGAAGCCATTTCGCAGTATGTCATTCTGGGTGACATGGCAGTGAAACCCATTGAGCAGTTGGCTGCTCTTGTGGATGAGGCACGTGTTTCATATATTGCAGGGAAAGAAATTTCCTAAATAATAATGATTCTGATACATTCCTTTATTAAGTGCATCAAATGAATGCATAGTAGGGACCATGTGTGTCCATCTCCGAAATTATTTTTTGTGGATTTTGACAAAATATTGAATTGGGAGTCTACAACAAAAGTTATGATTCAAATTTAATTTTTCTTTTATTAAAATATAACATATTGTGTGAGGATAAATTCAAACATCAGTTTTCTAAAATATTGGCTGATTGTAGAAAGAAAAAAAAGAGCAATCACATCCATACTACCAAAATGGGCATCTAAGAAAGATATGGCATAAAAAATAACAAATTCATTTGCATTCCTTCTACCAAAGTTGATAAATATGCATCAAGCTGTTGCAATGTGTATGTCTGAAAAACATTGAGACAGACACAAGATCTTTGTGGTGCTCTGTGTAGAGTTCATCCGCATCCTTAGGGCTGCTCTACACATTTTCACATCCTCTAAGTCTACTAAAGGTAATTAAAAGTTCTTATCTTTTTCTATTTTTAAATTTGTGATTTTTTTTTTTAGACAGTGCCAAATACCACCTCAGGGCTCTGAGCCCTGGTGTTTAAAGTACAACATGAATTTAAGTGGCACTAGTGAATGGGTGAACATGAAGCTCTCTGCTGGAAATAATTGATGTCAACCATAATGTATTATCCAAGCTTTTGTAATATTCATTGTGTTTTAGGTGTTTGTACCCCTGTTGTCAAACCCAGCCAATCAGAAGAAATGGCCTCCTGTAGTTGCACATGATATACAAAAGCATGTGCACAGTTTGAAGAGCACAGTGTATCAAGTGAAGGGTCAGGTGAGCGGTCAGACAGTGCTACCAATGCCAGTTGGAGTTGAGCGTGTTAATGAAGCGGAGCACAATCTAATTGAGAGGTATAATAGGATACCATATGCAAAATTGTAAAAAGCAGGAAACTAGTACTAATGCTATAAAAATAAAAAAGATTAACTTTTTCCATGCTGTGAATTGACATATAATGTGTATTTGTGGTGTATGGTATTATCAATGGAAGGGAACGTCTTGTTCCCCCCCAACCTGCAGGTGAAATAGTGAAACCTGACAACGTGAGTGGAGATATCTTAAAGTTATAAATATAAACCACCAAATTAACTGAAGTGTGTAATTCTTGTTCTTCACAATAAATATCTCCAGAAATTCAGTTATCAGAAGGTCACATGCTTCTGTACCCAGGTCCTCTGTATTTGAACAAATCACAAAACAACTGTAATTGTTGCTTTATAACTGTATCGTTTGTCATTTTATGACTGAAAATTTGTTGATTTGTGATATGTTGAACAGCAAGTTAAGTTCTTAGTTTCATGTTAACCTTTAAAGTACCAGGCTTTTAAATCCCCGTATTCACTGCTGGCCCAATTTAAATCCCACAGTTACGCCACAGTACGCATATGTTTTGTTAAAACAATGTATCTTTATTAAAAACCCATATACAACAATGAAATAAATTACACATTGTTCAGAAGGGTTTACTTTACCACTTGAAACTGTTCTTCAAGTGTCACCCTGCAATATTGTTTCTAATTGAAAGGAATATCACACATATTTACATTTTCTGCTGTCATTTGATTAATATTTTGAAAAATTATGTGATATTATTAATGTCTTCACCTTAAAATGTTTACACATCATCTAAACATTTTTTGTATCAGACAAACAATTGTAGAATTCCTTTTCCCTGCTATACACGCACATGATACGAGATGTTTCATAAGCAAAATTCAGCGGCCATTTCTCACCCAAGTCTCTCCTGATTCACTGCTAGATGGCTCTGGCAGTCAAATCAGGATTGAGCAGAAATTGTGCAGTCAGTGGGCTTGTCACTCACTACGCATAAATGCACGCGGCAATGACACATTACTGGGTTGAGCTACTAATAGAATACAGGGTAAGTCAAAAGTAGCTGCACAACTTTGGAGAACTGTAACCGTGTTACCTGCAGCCAAAATGTGCTGATATCAGCAGACATCTGTAGAGCATAACCTCAATTTCCGTTTGTTTGTTGTAGTTCTTCATATTGCCGCTGAGAGCGCTTGTGAATTGTGGAAATAGAAATGGAGACTTATAATGGTGAGGAAGAGCAAAATGTGTGTTCTGGTTCGAACAAACGAATCCTCTTCCGGAATTCTCTAAGATCATTGAGTAATGGTGGGTGGTAAACGTGATCCTTAATGTATCCCTGCAGAAAAATGCTGGTGTGAGATCCGGCGAACGAGGTGGCCAAGCGATTGGACCTGCTCGCCTAATCCACCGACCAGGGAAGTAGAGATCCGAACATGCTCTGACATCTGTATGGAAGTGAGGAGGTGCACCATCTTGCTGAAATTGAGTTGCGCTCTTCGTTTGTTCGAACCGAAGTATGTGGGAAAGAATTTTTCTGTACAATAATGCATATTAATTTTCCAGTGGAGGTGAGGTGGTTGATCTGTATTTGAAGAGTGCTATTGAAGGAGTTGTCATCAAATGGGCTACACAAATTAATGATGTGCTTACAGAGGAATCGAGCCAGGCATTTGCTGGTGGTCAAAATCCCACACCTAATGCAGGCAAGTTATTATGAAAGAACACTTATATATTAACTGATATTTTGTAACCATTGTAATAGCAAACAGAATAAACTACCATTAATTTGGTTTGTTTATGAATAGATTATTCTAATTTGCTCTGCTCATATTTAAGAACAAAAAATGGGCTTACTCCATTGTGAAAGTTGGTCTGTGTTACAATTTTTTAAAAGATTTATGATCCAAACATGCTTGAGTAGTACATGAGAAGCGATCTTTATTTTATAACTATAATTTTAGCTCATTATGTTACCTTTGTTGTTGTTTTGAAAGAATTAGTTGATCTCTATAAATGAACATTATGTTGGTTTGATTTTAGAAGTCAGCTTCTGGAACTTAAGGTTACATAATCTGGAGTACATCTATGAACAACTTCGTGATGAACGTGTCAGAAAGATGGCTGTTATTCTAGAGAAAACAGATAGTGCTTACTATCCATGTTTTAGAATGCAATTCCAGAATGTAGTTGCAGGTTAGCAAGTTTTCAGACAGAATGATAGATTATTTTGTAATTTTCTGTTTGATGTACAACATACTTTTCCTTAAAAACTGATTTTTATATAATTTATGTTCATCATTATGTTTCTTGAGCTTTGTACAGTATATTATCTTCATCTCCTTTGAAAGATATTGTCATGACATTCCAGTTGTAGGAATATCTTAATCCATTGTTTTTATTAGAATTTTCAGTTGTATAAATAACAACCACGTGTGTTCCTTAACACAGCATTAGCAGAGGCAAAAGACATAGCTCTGTACCTGAAGCCTCTTCTACCCCACTTCGCAGCTTTACAAGAAACAGACTTTGCTGAGATCAGACCTTGTCTTCAACCACTCATGCATGTTGTGTGTCTTGTATGGGCCAACAGCCGTTATTACTGCAACTCTGCCAAAATTATTGTACTTCTGCGACAAATCTGCAATCTCCTAATAAAACAGGTGCAGGCACTTTTATTAGTTATTTCAGTAAAATATATGGGAGGTAAAAGACTTAAGTGTTATCTCCCCATTTATATTATATTTTTAGTAATATCCTTCTATCTATGCCTGGGTCTCTCAAGTTGTCCTTTCCATTCACTTTTTCTGAGTAAAAATTTGTGTGTACGAAGAGCAACATGTATTAATACGAATTTATGAACAACTTATCATCAAAACACCTATGAGAAGGAGTGTAAAGTATAGGTTGCACTGCACTACCAACTGTTATACTTAATGCACGCGACTGTAATCTTGAGACTTGCAAGGAATGCAGGAAGTCCGAAGCATTGAAGGCTGACGCTATCTTTCCTCCTCTACCCCACTTCCTCACCCTGCAAGTCTCAAGATTACAGTCTTACACTGTAGCTTCATTTATTATGCAATTAACTTTCTGCAATTTAACCTGTATTGTATGGAGTTCTATTTGCCCTTTCCATGAGCAGAACATTTAGTATAATTTGTTTGACATTGACAGAGTTTTCTAAACTTGCCTTTAAATGCTTCCACATCTTATTTTATTATTATGTCATTTGTATGAATGTCCTTGACTGCTATACATAGAAACAGAACAGAACATTTTGAATATAATCAGACAATGTGCAGCAAATATCACTATACTGTCAGAAACCACCTACCACCATTTCCTATCCTATCCTCCCACCCTGTTTTCTTACAGTTTATTTTAATATTATCCTCTCATCTACACATAGGTCTTTTGAATAGAATCTTTCCTTCATGCTTTCTAACAAAAATGTTGTATGCATTTCTCATCTTCCCAGTGTGCACTACCCATCGCATTTTCCTTGATTTGATCATCCTAACATTATTTGATGAAGACTAAATTCTATGGAGCTCCTCACTGTGCATTGTTCTCTGGCCTCTTGTCACTTCACCCCTCTTAGAACAGAATATTCTCAACCACCTCTCCTCAATCTACAATTATGTCTGATTCTTAACTAATTTGTTTTCACATGTCTTTTTATGTTGACAGGTTGTGATTTCATTAAATAAAGTTGGCTTTAATTACAGGCAAAGTTTTTCTTGGACCCAGCTTCCATTTTCCAAAGTGATGTTGATGAAACCAAGCAGAGAGTTCAAGAATCTGTAGAAACTCTACATCTCTTCAGGTACCAGTTTCTTTGCCATCATTCCTCGTTATGTAATTAAAATAACATCAAGCAGGTAATGAATTTAAATGTTTGTTGGTGGTTCTTTAATAATATGGTATTAAATAAGAGCCTTGTCCCATTATCAGAGTCTGCTGACAGTTTGTTAGGGAATTCACCCTACTGTTCCTTATTGAAATAGAAGTTGAAGGAGACTTGTTAAGTACTTGATGCTTCAGAGGCATGACCTAACTCACACAATGTGTCATAGTTTCAGTAGCATGAAAAACGACCAAATTAAGCAAGAGGTTAGATGCCGATACAGACTGGAAGAAAAGGGACTCATATCTCCCTTTTTCTGTGGACATTTGTGCTTTTTCAGATATTGCTTGGGTAATAACACTGCCTTAATTGTTACTGAATTAAGTATTTGTTGTTAATAAAATTATTTGTGTATTGTACTCTGTTGCAGAAAAATATTTGATGAGTGCAGAGAGAACCTAGCATCATATTTCAAGGACAGGGAACCCACACTTTGGACATTTCATCCCAAGATTGTATTTGAACGTTTCCAAGCATTTCTTAACCGTCTTGAAACAATAAAGGTAATAAGATCCAAGTAAGGCAGCAAACATTTACATTAACCTCCACTGTGGAAGACAGATGGACGGAGAGGCTTGGCTGTCAGACAACCCACATAAAGCAGAGTGGTACTGAGTTATATTAATTGTTAGGTTAGGTTAGGTTAGGTTAGGTGGGGTAGGAATGTATATTGCAGTAGCTCATTGATGTTTAATATGCTCATAACCCTTGTTCAGAGTGTGATTCTTATTGATGTATTATTATTATTATTACTATTATTAACATATTTTTGTTATTGATGTTGTGATCCTGATCATCAATATTGTGTATGTGCTCTTACAGTGCTTCTTTGATACTGTTTTGGAGTTTATGAAGCTTGAGAAGGTGGAAATTGGAGGGCTGAAGGGACGCCTTTTGAGTTCTAGAGTTGTAGCAGTGTTTACTGAGTTTACCGAACACTTGAGTGTGTTTGGGAGCAAGACATATGATGCATTAGATCCTGAGGATCCTGCTTTTGAGTTGGACTATGCAGATTTCCAGAAGAAAATTGGAGACCTTGATTGGAGACTTGCGTCTGTATTGTGTCAAGCTTTTGATGACTGCTGTAACTTAGAGAGTGTGTTTAAGGTAAGAATATTACATGTTTGCAATTGTTTAATCTGTGCCTATTTTTGCAAAGTGTGAGAATACAGTGATTGCCTGAACTGCATTGTGGGCTGCCAGCCAGTCTTTAACTCTGAAGTTAACAGCATTTTACTACTGTGACAAATGGCTGCCTGATTGCATGTGAGCTGTGATTCAGTCACCAAAAGTTATTTGATTCATGGTGAGGACATTAGAGAACTTTTCTTTCACATGGGGTCCTTTCAGCTTTATACAGGAAATTGAATAAAATCCTTATTAAAGTTCTGAGCTGTATGATTAGTAGCAACTAATAATATATGTAACATGAGCTTCAAAGTGACTATTGAATATATAATTACTTGCTCTGTATTAACCTTACTTGTGCATTTTAGTACAGTAGAGAATCTTTTTCATGTGTTTCTAGTCTGCAGTACCTAGAATCCAGTAGAAATTTATTATTTCTAAAATTATACACAAAGAGTGACATAAGAAAAGGGATTAGTTATTGATATTTAAATATTTACAGAATCTGTACTTGTAGGTGATGGTTAAGGTATTTTATATATAGTAGATTCTTACTCTGCATTAATATTTGTTTATTCTAGATCAGTTTTATAAGTTATCTGAAAATGAGTTCTCTTATTTCAGCTTATTGAAATAGTTGGTTCTGTTTTGGATCGACCTCTGATAAAAGATCAGTTCACTGGAAAATATGAAGCCATTCTGGTCATGTTGAATGAAGAATTGGTTACAGCAGAGGTATGATGTGAATTTGTGGGTGTACAAAGTGTGGTAAGTAATAGAATGGGGAATTTTAAAGCAGCTTGGCATTATAGATTCTGCACACCAGGAACAGGTTGGATATCATGTTGACATTGAATGTAGAAGATAACTTCACCAGAGATTGAAATATGATTTATCACCTTCACACATGCTAGAGAACACCTTTCTCAATTTTCATTGTTTATGTACTGAATACACTTTGTACACCACTTGTTTGGTTATTTATATAATTCAGATTTTTAATAATACTGTAAAGAGTGTAATTTTATCAAACCATTGCAGTCAAATTATACCTAAGAACTGTGGAAAAATCTCTCAGTTTCATTTCTATACACGAAACCTGAATATGTTCTCTTTGAACAAAATTTAAGCAGAAATGTTAAATCTTGGAAAGTTATATTGATGTATTTTCCATAAATCTGGGTTGTTGCGCTGTGTAGTCTGGTCGATGTTAACCAACGTTTCAGAGGTCATACTGCCTCCATCATCAGGGCGATGAATGTGTTTATGATTGATAGAAAATCTGTTAACTATTTTACTATGTTTTAATTCTTGGGATGAATTATGCACTTTGATTTACTGGAAATATTTATATTTTTAGGTTCTGTATGAAGAACAGATGGCCACCTTGGCAGAACATGGATGGATGCATGTGGATAAAAACATGCCACCAGTAGCTGGAGCCCTAAGATGGGCATACCAGCTGCATCAGAGAGTGACAATTCCTGTAATGAACTTCAAGACCCTTCAACATATGTGAGTGATGCAATGGAAATTATATTATACCATATTTAAAATTTCAGAATTTAAATTTAAGGAACTCGGTATTCATTACCATGTTCACAAAGACCAACCATAGGACCATATTTTGGGCCAGTTCAAAGCAGGCTCCACTTTCATACCATATTTATTGAATATGTACGTTAATATTATCCTCTCATCAATGTTTAGGTGTCTCACACAGCCTCTTGAAGTTTTATGAACAAGTTTTTATATGTAATTTTTATTTTCTCCAGGTATGTTACATGTACCATTCATCTCATGCTCCTTAGTTTAGTCACTTTAACAATATTATGTTATTCTGTAATTTTTTTATAACCTCTGTTTCTTCCTTTCTCTTAGGTTCAAGCATTTTATTTAGCACTTTATTTCCTCAGTCTCTTCCCAAATATTTTGGTCTCTTGATGTGACTATTATATTGCACATCAAGAGTTTTAGAATCAAACTTATTGCATAAGTCAATCCAGTTTGTACACCATTTTTCTATTTAGGCTCAAAACTTTTTACCTATCTGATATTCCTGGTAGAGTGTTTTCCTTCCTGCAGGATAGTGACCAGTCCTGAAGCAACAGTGGTGCTGGCAAAGTATGATCACTTAATAGATTTACTGGATGAATTTGAGAGCAAGATATTTGCTAACTGGGCAGCTTCAGTGGCTGAGCAATGTGAGAGAAACTTGAAACTCCCACTTTTAACACGTAATGCCGTTAATAATGAACTGTCTCTCAATTTCCATCCAGAGGTAAGTTGCTTTATTGCGCTTAATTTTATTATTTATGTGATAGTCAACGTTATAATCTGTTGTTAACTCATACTTAACAATCAGTAATAACAGAGTTGAGGGTTTCTCAATTTAAACAGTTGTGAGGTCACTGTGGTATAACCAGTACCTTAAGTAAGGAGGGTATGTCCTACATGTTTAAGTTAGATTAGCTCTTCTTGTTTAGGGATAATTTTCTATTTGTATTATATGATGAGCAGATAGTCATATCATAGCAGTTGAATTAATTTTGAATCAATCAATGCAATGTAACAGTTATCATGAAAGTATTACTTAATATTTTCAGCATCTATTAATCACTGTGGAATTTCAATTTAATTTGATAAGACATTTGTACATTTAAATTGATCGTAATTACGAAGAAAAAATCAAATTGTTTTTTGTCTCACAACAAGTACATATAATTAACAGATACTGGTACTGCAAATAAGAAACCAGGAACAATAACAGATTACAAGTATTAAACATTTAATTATAAGAACAATTTTTATTATTCTGTGATTTCTGGTCTGCATGGAAAATATCATATATTATTTTTAACTTGTTAGCTAGTTGCCATCCTCCGTGAAGTACACTATTTAAACCTCATGGGACATAAAGATATTCCAGTAGCAGGTCTTTGCATATATGAACAGAGTGAGACCTTCAGAAAATATACTTCAAACCTCAATCACACCATTCAGTGGTAAGATTCAGTATCATTAATCATCTCTGTGTGAAGTAAGTGTTACTTAATATCAAGTTTTAAAATATCTTACTTGAATGAAACTAATTTTTATTGATGCACGTTGTTGCACTGGGCCCATTGTTCATCCCCCAGATGATACTAGATTGAGTATGAAGCATCAGTGTATTGATATTGACAGGTAAGTCTACATGCAAATCAAGAATATTATATTCTTGGAACTACTTACTTTCTTATTTAATAATATAATGCTTGTATTATAGGTATGGTGATAAAATATGACATGTTTTGACATTGTTCGGCTATCTTCAGGTGAATAACTTGAATCTTAATTAAACTACTACAGTAACATGCAGTATGGAGTTAGCTCTAAAATTTAAAATTCACTAATATGGAATGTTAAAAAATTTTAACTTTTCAAGAATAAAAGTTTTGTATATGAATGTGGTGTTAAAATGTGTGGTTTTCCAAGAGGTAAAACTTGCTGGTATAGTAATAAGGGCATCAACCTTTGGACCACCATTTGTGCCATAATAGCATCCATCATACCTTGAAATTATGGCTGGCATGTCCAAGTTACCCTGAAAGCTAATACAGATTTGAATACATAGGTTTGGGTGAAAATTGTGTAATTCACTCATGTTGAAAACATTCTGTTTCAATATAATTTTTCTTGTAGCATAGATATTTATATGCTAAGTCAATCTTATTTTAATTTCTTTGATTCAGGTATAACAAGGTATTACGCCAAAGTCTTCCAGTGGAATTTGTATTGATTGAGGAGCAATTACAAGAGATTGATGCACTGGTAGAGCAGGGCCAAACAAATCTCAATTGGAATTCTATGAGTATGCTTGCTACCAATTATTTTGTTCTACTTCATAGCTTTTATGGAAAATTTATTTGTATGCTTTGCTCTAAGCCTTTATTTCTGTAGTTGTTTTTCAGTTTCACTTGAAGTTTAAAGTTGAAAGAAGCATTCTGTACTTACTGACCATTTGCACATGTGAAAATCTTTATGGATTTTCATAAAAGTTAGTGCTTGTTGACCTTTACTAAAAATATTTTGACCAAATATAATCTTGACTCATACTGGAGAATTACAGCTGCCACTTATATTAAATACTGCATTTAGACTGTGAAAAATTTGCATGTTATATTAGGTTTTGATGTTGCTGGGTAATGAAAGTCCAGATTTATCATGTCTTTCAGTTTGTAACAGCCATTGTAAATTATTTTTTTCAGAATACTTTATTTAATGTTCAACAAATTAATAATGTTTCAGCAAAATTTTATGTTTTATACTTCTCTTTGATATGTTGCTACCATTTTTAATAAAATGGTGATGAATTTGTAAAATTTAGTCACTGATAATATATTCTGAAGTTATGTAAAGAAAATAATATGAGGCATACTTAATTAGTGTCTGTGGAGGTAAACTTCGTGGTTAAAGGTTTAATTTTTTATACAAAATTTAAAGCCACATATATGGTGAAGATCTGAAAGTGTTGGTATTTGAACACCCTTACCTTTAATACAATTTATTTGATACTTTTTTATGCATTCTGTTCAGGGGATTAATATTCAAAGTAATTTACAGACATTTGAAAGTTTTTAAGCAGATATAGTAATGCAGTGGTGTTAATATTTTATGGCATAAGGCAGGGTCTCAAATAGAATTGACATTGAGAGCAATATATAGTAAATTAAATTAAATAGAATACTATCAGCTCTCTTCACTCAATTTCTATGTTAATCAACTCCCTTTTCTCTCTTTGAGAGCACCACAGTAAGAGAACAGTAACAGCAGTAGATTTATATTAGTGTCTATACACATAAAACCTTTGTATACACTCTAAAAGGAACAGATATATTTGTGTGTGTGTGTTTTTTTCTTTTCTAATTCAAAGATTTTGCTTCGTGCAGAATTATGGGACTATATTGAACAACTTCATCAGTTAGTACATACTTTGGAAGCACGTGTACAACAAACACAAAATAATGTGGAGCAGATTCATAATATTATGGGCATGTGGAGCAAAGTGGCTCTGTTTGAGCGTCCAGATGGAAAAAAAGATACATTACTGTGTGTTGAAGACCGGTCAGAACATGTACAGCGAAGGTATGTTCAATTAGAGATGGAGTACAATCAGTGTGGAACTCAACATTCTCTTCTGATGTTTAGACATTACAGAAGTGATTATATTTTATCAGGTACAATGAAATGCGCAGTGCAGCCATAGAGATTCACAAACTTTTGCAACAAAATCTTGATCTCTTTGGTATGGAACAGGCAGCAGACTCTTCTCGCTGGCTTGACTATGTTGGCTATGTAGATAATATAATTTATGAGTCCCTACTTAAGACTGTGGGCTGCAGGTATGTGCTATTTTTATTTTTGTCATTTGTCGCTTACTCTGTGACTCATGCTAGAGTTCCCTTCCTGCAGGGATCTACAATATTCAGGGTCTTTAGTTGGACATAGGATTTCTGTAGCATATTTTTTAATGTGGATGTTGACTTCACTTTTGTTTTATTAGGGACCACACTACATGTTACAAATGTTTGTGGTAAATTCTTTAAGTTTTGTTTGCACAATAAAACTTTTTATAAATTATTTATGGTAATCTTTTCCAGATTTGTTCAGTAAGTGATTACAGGTAAACATGTGTACTTCCTTTCTAACAAATGTTTTCTTTAATTGATTCCTCACTTGTGTTAAGGAATCTTCAAACGCAATATGTGTGCATGTGCATGTGTGTGTGGGGTAATCGTAATGACATAATCAAAGAATTGCAAACTAGTCTATTATGTTTATAAATTTGATAGAATTATACTTCAGATTTTCAAGTTTGGATTGATTTCATAATTAACCTATTGCTATGAAAACCACTAATCTCATTCGCATAATTTATTTAATGAATTGTATTTAATTGCAGTTTGGGTTACATTGCGGAGCATATGGACCCAAATAATGGGCTTCCACCATTGTTTGAAGCACAGTTAGAACTTCGTGACCCGAACCTTGTGTTTATACCATCACTTAATACTGATGACCCTGACTGCTTCTCTAGTGTGGTAGAAGGTCTCATTAGTGACATTATAAAGATGGCAAGTCTGATTCCCCGCATTGCTATTAATTATGGAGCTGCTAATTATGAGGTATCAGATACATATAAATTTATTTCAGTTGTTTCTAACATTGTTCCGTTGAATAATGAGATTTTTTTGCTAAATTCTGTTGCCAGTTCAATAAACATTTATATTTGTAAAATCTATGATTTCTAATATTTAAAAGAGGGGACAGCACCCCTATTCAAATGATGATGTAGAAGGGATGGATGTGCTATATAATGCTTCTTCTACCTTAATACATCCAGTTTTCACAAATGAAGCTTTGTTGATCAAATCATGGTGGTTTTATCTGTGTGTGCCTTTATGAAGTCAGTGCCATTGCTTAAAACAGGCTGACCAAGTCTTGGTGGATTAGCTAACTTAGCTTTTTGTGTTTGGACGTTGGTTTGATTTGTAGATAGTCATGAATTACAAATACAATTAAATCTGCTATAATCTACCAGTCATATACCAGAGTGCAGCTTTTAATTTTTGAACCACTGGGAGTTATATTTGTTTCTAACAAATATTATTGTTTTGATTTCAGGCAGACATGGAGAATAATGAGGATATAAGAGAGATGAAACAAGAAGTATTAGGTGGTGTACAGTCTGTAATGAATGAGGTAACTGAAGTTTTTAATTTTCCCAAAATATTGTTCATAAAAATTTGTAATTTTGCATCAAGTAGTAAGTTGTTAGGTGAGAGTTGCATTTGTTGAATGGTTCTGCAAACTTATATGTGTATCACATTTTCAGGCTAATGAATTTAGTCATGGTTTTGAAACATACTCTTATTTGTGGCTGGTTGATCGTGAATCCTGCATGCAACAGTTCTTGACATATGGTCATCAGTTGACAGCTGAAGAGCTTGAACTCATTGCCATAGATGATGACACGGCACCAAAGCCTAGTCCACCAAACATGGAGCTTTTCAGGGAACAGGTATGAGTACATAAAATCTCAATCCATATCTGATGTTTGACACACATGATAGCAACTTTCAATTTTGACTTACATTATTTGATTATTACGTGTTGTGTATGTAACTATTTGCTGTACTCACAGCAATATGTTCGGGAGGTATATGAAGGAAGAAAAGTGTGTATTCAGAAAAGTCTAGCAAGATCTGGTTATCTCCAACAAGTTAAACCAACACTGAATGTCTTGTCTCTGAAGTGCTTCTTGTAGCATCTTACCACTGTCTCCACATGCAGTGTCTGGTAGCTTCCTTTTATGCTGCTGCAACTGTTATTACTACTTCAAGGTTACTCTGTTAGTTGTTCTGCCTCAAAATTTTGTCTCCTCCATCAGGGCAGCAACGATAATTTGATGCCTTAGCTTAGTGCCCTTGGTTTGTTAATTTTAATAACTACATTGCAGGTACTGTTCGACATACCTTCATATGTTACCATTATTGTTGTTTCTTAAGCACTGTGATTTTTTCATTATAAAGAATAACTGTTCATTCAAAAAACACCATTGTTTACAAAAATTGAAATTTATTTTAATATGTAGTTGTAGTTACATCATTCTTATTAATAGACTTTGTTTCCCCCCCTATAAAAGTAAATGTAATATACGCTTGAGAATTTTGAAATCAACAGTTTAGTTTTTCTGTAGAATAAAATTACTGTATTCATCATATTTTGTATTCAGATTGATAACTATGAGAATCTGTTCATGGAGATTGAGGAGATGGAGTCAGTACACATCTTCAGTGGATGGTTTCAAGTAGACTTGAGACCCTTGAGGCAAGCCCTCCTCAACACAGTTAGCAAGTGGGGCAACATGTACAAGCAGCATTTGGTGGATCATGTAACTAACAGGTGGGTTGCAGAACACATCATCTTTCATCATTTCAGTAGCTCAAAGGTGTGGTGGTAGTGTTACATTACCAGAGGAAGTATGAACTACTCTATTCATATTGAGTGCACCTTTAAACACCTTGGATCCAGCTGTGGTGTCAGCAGTGTGATGTCATAACCCTGAACAATGACACATTAGATATCATGATTGTTTTTATATTACTAAGGAAATCATATAATCCTTTCAGTAAAATATTTTTAGTGTGATTTTAATTTGAATGTTCTGTGCAGCTTATCAGATCTTGCACATTTCATTCATGATGCTGATGAGGGGTTACAACAGCCTATTCAAGAAGGAAACTATGAGTGGCTGGTGAATGTGATGGGGTATCTGATGAATGTTAAGGAGCGTCAGCTTACGACTGATGATATGTTTGAGCCGTTGACGCAAACTATTGAACTGCTTAAATTCTATGATCAAGAGCTTCCTGAAGAAGTAAATGTGCTGCTGCAGGTAACTTGAGGCAGTGATGCGGAGCTTGCACGCCCTCACCAGCTGTACTGTCTGCCCATGCCTGCACTCTTCCCTGCACTCAAAACTGATCTGCAACAAGCTTAACTGCTCTCAGCTTGCATTGTAAAGGTACTGAAGCATATACTGTATATTTATGTTTAGAAGTCAGTTATTAATGGTACTATAACTTGACAGTTTTTTTTTAATAATTTGGAACATTTTTTCAAGTACTTTTGATCAAGATTATGGTGTAAGGCAAGTGTGTGGACAATTATTGTTTACTTTTCAAAAGAAACATGGGTTGAAGATTCTTGCAAGTAAAGTTGTTGCAGTAGAAAAATATTAAATAGCTAGCAATCATTTGCACTGACTGAATATGCTTTAGTAGACTATAACAATTGTGTATTAATAGTTAATTCACACAGGATATCATAAACTATGATTGGTAATTCTCAGGATGGTAAGACGACACATAAGTGGGCTCCATTTGACTTTCACAGAACACCTAATAGCTAAAGATGGGTAAGGAAAAGTGATGTAAAGTTAAATAAAACTGACCAATGCTAAATACAGTGACCTAAGGTAAGTTTAAAATAGTAACAGCTTTCAAGTATCATGGTATCCTGCATTTTTCTGCTTTATAGTTTATTTTAAAATCTTACATCTTTCAGTGTAAGGATGTGTTATATGTAAATGTGTATGTATATTTTCTTAATAATGTGTGTGTTGTTTTGTCATGAATACACATGCACAAAATATGTCTGTTATAATTCATGCATTTGTTTTGAAAGGCTTATAGTTCTCAGTTCCTCTGTCTATTGAGTTTACCTTTTTATTTCTACATGAACAATTGAATGAATAGATGGATAGATGAATAGATGCATTTGTAAAGCTGTGTGGGTCTGGTTGTTTATAATGTGTTGTCAGTTTTTCAGATCTTATTATTTTTAAATAGGAGCTGCCAGAGCAGTGGAATAACACCAAGAAGATAGCACTGACTGTAAAACAACAAGTTGCACCCTTGCAGGCTACTGAAGTTACTTGCATACGTAACAGGATTTCTAACTTTGATGCACAACAGAATCATTATCGTGACACTTTTCGGAAACTACCTTTCCTCAGGTAATTCTGAACAAATAGGCCATTTTGCCATAAAGATTTCAACATAAATATAAAAACTGATAATTTAGTTTCAACCAATTTACATTATCCATTAACATTTCTACCATGGTGGTTGTCTTATGACAAAGCCTTTCTTCTCTCTCATTACATTAGCACTTCTATTTGATTTGTATTC